AAAAAAAACAAAAAACTACTACTCTGCATAATATTCTTCTAGAAATCAACCAGACATAGGAACTGTACAATGCTGCTTGATGTGATTAAACTATGGAAATGTTATGATAGCTGTAAGAGCTCCCAATAAAATGATTTTTAAAATTAAAAAAAACTAACCATAGATTTTTAAGAAGACTGTTTTCATGCAAAAGGTTTCTATAATACTTACCTAAAGACTCGTCCATAATTCCCATGCACTTTATATACACCATAGAGTCGGTCTGCCACTCTCTGAAACAAATGTTTGACATAGTTGCCATTAGGTCAAACGTAGGTGCAGTTTGCTTTAAAAAAGAAAACCAAGTTTTAACCTCATTAAAAAAAAAATGTATTTTCCAATAAATTTAGAAAATATAGAAAAGAAAAAATTTTGATTTCCCAAGGTCCCATTAGTTTCATACTTTTTTTCCACACATAGGTTTTAATCACTGTCCTTTTTTTCTATCAGCTTCATGTTAATGTTAATAAATACTAGTATAAATAATTACATAAATTCCACCAGGTCTACTATTTTTGAATAAACCCAAACTTACTGCCCCTGGGTCAATTCTGACTCACAGGCACCCATGGGTTTCTAAGATGAACTCTTGACAGGGGCAGGAAGTCTCATCTTTCTCCTGCGGAGCCGCTGTGGTTCCGAGCCGCAGCCCACCGCGTAACCACGTCTACATTTCCACTATCATAAGTAATACTGCACTAACATCTCTGAGCACAGATTTCCAAACCAGGAGAACAGATATAAACATTTTCAATTCTACTGATATAAAATTACACAATTGCTATAGACCCATGCAATCTACTTTAAAAAAACAGAAATCAAAAACAACTTTCAATTGTGAATTAGCTGAAGGTTTATGAGGCACATGATTAGTTTACATGCAATAATTTGACACATTGTGCTTCATGTCACTGACTGCAATCCACTTCCTCCTTGTGCTCCTACTTCCGTCCCTCCTTCTTTCTTAGCCCTTAGTCCTTGGTCAAGCTGCTCTTTTGATTTTAAACGTTTGATTATTCTAATACAGGGGGGTGGGTTAAGTTCCAGACCATTGGGTCACTGACTATACACTTTCTTCTTCTTTTTTTATTTTAATAAATCATTTTATTGGGGGCTCTCACAACAATCCATACATCAATTGCATCAAGCACCCCAGCACATACTGTATATACTCAAGTATAAGCCGACCCGAATGTCAGCCGAGGCACCTAATTTTACCACAAAATCTGCATTTAAAAATGTGCTGAAAAAACTCGGCTTATCCATGAGTACATACCATATGTTGCCATCATCATTTTCAAAACCTCCCCATTTGAGCCCTTGGTACAGCACCTGAAGTACATGAAACCAAAAAACCAAACTCACTGCCATCGAGTCCATGCTGACTCATAGCGACCCTGTGGAAGAGGATAAAACTGCCTGTGTGGGTTTCCAAGACTAACTCTTATGGGAGTCAAATGTCCCATCTTTCCCCTACAGAGCTGACTGGTCCTTTCGAACCTGACTTGGAGTTAGCAGACCACCACACCACTGGGCTGCCTCGTGACCCTGTTTAAAAAAACACACTCACTGCCATCGAGTCAATGCTGACTCATAGCAGCCTCCTGTGGCTTTCTCAGACTGTAACTATGTACTGGAGTAGAAAGCTCAGTCTTTCTCCTATGAAGCCCTTGGTGGTCTCAAACTGGCGACCATGTGGATCATAGCCCAATGAGTAACCACTATACATACCACTGGGGCTCCTATAGCACCGAATAAAATTGCTCCTTGAGGTTTCCAAAACTAAATTTTTATGGGGTCAGACAACCTCTTGTTTCTCTTGCAGAGCAGAGGTCAGCAGCGCAATACTTGGCCCACAGAGAGTTTGCCACTAAAATAAGTTCTTTAGAATATTATTCTCAAATGCTCTATAAAATGTCAAAGTGTTTTATCAAGTAATACTAGGAACACCTTACAGGATTAGAGATTTAAAATATACAAAACTCAAACTCAGGGCCCTCGAGTCCATTCCAACTCTTAAGCCCTGTGAAGGGCAGAGAACCGCCCCTTTGGATTTCCAAGGGTGGGACTCTGCAGGAGCAGGAAGCCTCGTCCTTCTCCAGCAGCTGTGTGGTTAGCAGCCCAATTCATAACTCACTACGCCACAAAGGGGCTTCAAAACTTTCATGGGAAAATTCCATTACCTTTAAATTCTCTTTTTCCACAAACGTTTTGAAATCCCCTCACATAGGTAGGGTAGAAAGGGGGAACCGATCAAAAGGATCTACATATAAACCCCTCCCTGGGGGACCGGCAACAGAAAAGTGGGTGAAGGGAGATATCGGACAGTGTAAGACATGACAAAATAATAATAATTTATAAATTATCAAGGGTTTGTGAGGGAGGGGGCAGGGAGGAAGGGGGAAAAATGAGGAGCTGATACCAAGGGCTCAGGTAGAAAACAAATGTTTTGAGAACGATGATGGTTCCAAATGTGCTTGACACAATGGATGGATGTATGGATTGTGATGAGTTGTACGAGCCACCAATAAAATGATTTTAAAAAGAAAAATATATTATAACAGAATATCCACCCCCCCCAAAAAAAAATCCCCTCATATAAACCTAATCAGTCTAAGCCAGTACTTTTTCCAGATTCCTTCACTTTTAGAAACCAAACTCTTTCCTTAAGTGGAATATTTTACCTTCCACTTAAGATATTAAACACAGAAGAGGAAGCTTATATGAAATAAGCACTTAAAACAAAAATGAAAAACGATAAAAGTGTGCAACACATTCACAAATTTAGTGGCATGGAAAAATTTAATGGTATGGTAGTTGTGCATTATGCTTCAAATTACAAAGTCAGTAGTTCGAAACCACCAGCCACATTGCAAAAGAAAGAAGAGGCTTTCTACTCCTGCAAGGAGTTACAGCCTTAGGGGCTGCTCTGAGTCATCTCGACTCCTTGGCAGTGAGAGGTATTAAATATTTACTTCTTTAAAATGTATCCCCTCCTGCCAGCTGGTGTAAAAGGAACTTCAACTGGCACACTGAGAACTCTGGAAAATATTTGGGGCTGTAAGGCAAAAGACAGGCACAAGTCCCAATGCCCCAGGAGGTAGGCAACTGCATGGAGGCTCCTCTATTCATGAAAGATTCTCAGAAGTTGCTGGGGACCAGAGATGGTACTGATATCAATGCTTCAAAGATGGAAACAAATTGTTCCAGCCAACAAAAGCATGAAGTGGCTTGCAGTTAGATCATTAGACTGTGAAAATGAAAATGAAGCTAAGAAAAACTATAAACTAGACCAAAAACGATCATTTATAGAGAAAAGGAAAGGCACACATGGCAGAGATAAGATAAAAGAGAAACGACCCACACAGAGGCAGGGGCTGCTGGGAATGAAGAGCAGGGAGAGGGAGCCACGCCGCAGATGCAGTGCAGGCTGCTGGGCAACCTCGTTTCTGTTGAGAAGTCTCTCTGTTTGAACACTGGCCAGGGGGCGACGGGCAGGTGGGGCGACGGGCACTGGTACACAGCAAACTCCACAACGGCAGAAGAAACTGGTCAGCACCACCCCGCCATCCTTTCCCAGCTCCGAGTCACGGTGCCATGCTCTGCACTCCAGCAGCAGTCTGCGATGCGATGGGACTGTGGCTGTCGTTAGGACTCTTCCCGTTGCTTCAGACTCATAGTGACCTCATGCACAACAGAACCAAACACGACTCGGTCCTGTGCCATCCTCACAATTGTTATGTTTGAGCCCACGTTTTGTTACAGATCTAAGAAGAATTAGGAGCCCTGGTGGCATAGTGGTCATAAGTGGGGCTGTGATCCACAAGGTCAGCAATTCAAAGCCACCAGCTACTTCGAGGGAGAAAGAGAAGGCATTCTCCTCCTTTAAAGAGTTAGTCTCAGAAAGTCACAGAGGCAGTTCTACCCTGTCCTTTGGCAATTACGGTTTTTTTTGGCTTTTTATCCTCATCTTAGGATGGGCTTTAAAGAATTTAAACCACTCTGAGCCTTTTCTCTCTTCTTTGGAGATGTGGAAGCGACCTTCAGCATCTGACTTTGTGAGGATGAAGTGAGGCAGTTCGAATGGTTCCTGACAACAAACAGGGTAGCTCAGTGAACATGCACTCTTCTCCCGGACCCTACTCGAATTTACATTCCTTGTCAATAAGCCATCTGTAGATCGCTAAAAGCAGTTTCTAGAGATAGACATCGGTTCTAGCACAGCTATCTGTGTGTCATCTTAGACAAGTTACTTAACTTCATTTGCCTGTTTCTTCTTATGCAAAATGGGGACAGTAGCACTACCTACCTTCAAAAAGCTGCTGTGTGAATTTAGAAAAAAATTATAGTATGCTTAAACATCATTGCTGATAAGACATTGGTAAATAAATGTCAGATATAGCAGTCTTGTTTTCCTTTAAAATAGAAGACACAAACTCACTTCATTTGAGTCTCATAACTATGACGAAGGCTTCTAGTCACATAACACAGATGAACTCAGAACCTACCCCGTGAGACCCAGCCAGACACCATTCCCCTTTCCAGGGACGCAAACGCTGGAGGACCCAGTGAAGGGCAGAGGCGATCCACAGCCTTCTGAGTCTATGGCCACTGCCCCATCTGGTTGTTCTAGGTTTTGACTTCTTACACATTTTACTCTTTGATCCATTATAACTTATTTTCTACCCTCCATAGAATTCTCCTTCACAGAAACCAAAAACCAAACTCCCTACCTTCTAAGTGATGGTGACCCTACAAAAAAGACAGTCAGACAATCCTACTTTCTCGTCTGGTAAAATACATCAGCACTCCTAAGTCTTCTCTTCTTCGTGTCAGAGCTCTTCCTGCGGGGCTTTCTGTGGGCTCCCCGCAGTGCTGGGAATGACTGTCCATCTGACTTCCGACGACTGTTCTGTTTCTGTCCATGACTAAATGGACTTTCTCGCCATTTTAGAGCAGTCTTAAAATCGGCTAGTCAGGAACAAGCAACTCCAAATTCATTGTGAGTCGATTCCGACTCATAGTGACCCTACAGGACAGGGTAGAACTGTCCCTGTCAGTTTTTGAGATTGTAATTCTTTCTGGGAGTAGAAAATCTCACCTTTCATCCTCAAAGGCCATGGGTGGTTTCAAACTGCTGACCATGCACTTAGCAATTCAATGTGAACGGTTTGCCACTAAAGCTCCTGCTAGTCAGAAGATATCCTATGTTTATTGGTACTTCTCCCATTTCTATGGTCAGGAGTTTAATCTGACTCACACATCGAGTCCTGCCTTTCCTCTGAAGAGCTCAAATGCTCTTTCATGTAAGGTTTTTGAGGCTCATTTCACAAAGTGTAGCTTAAATAGATATATTCAAAATTCTCTTGTTGGCTATTCCAAACTCTTTGATAAGGACTTTTAAAGGTTCTTGTCATGTATACAATATCATAGCTATTGGATAAGCCTTTATTTCTCATCACTCAGTTTCAACAACTATTAAAATAGGGCCAATTTTGCTTCACATAAAACTGCCTCCATCAATGGATGGGGACAGTCTTAATCTTTGGGCTACTTCAAAGGGCCAGAGTGGATGGCAAACATGGCCAAGTCAATTGATTTACCTCCGTGTTGATTACAGACAAACAAGACTCGACTCACTACCATCAAGTTGATTCCGACTCACAGCAACCCTACCGATGAGGTAGACCTGCCCCTGTGACTTTCAGGCACTAAACTCTTGACAGGAGTAGAGCGCCTCAACTTTCTCCTGAGGAGCAGACGTAGTTTCAGACTGCTGTTCCTATTACTTGACTTCTAGTTTTGTTTTTTTAATCATGGCAAATCATGACCTCCACAAGTTTACATAGAATTCAAGAGCACAGACATAGTTTGGCCTAACGTAAGCAAATCATTTTACAGACCTTAGCAAAAAACAAAACCAACCCTGAGGAATAAGAGCATTGTTACAGGGAGATACAAAAGCCTGCCTTTATCTATTGAATCACATCTTCGTGTGGAAATGGCAAGCCTTTTGACCAAGTATCAAAAGAAATATGCAAGGACTTCAGAAAGTTCTTGGAAAAATGGAATTAAAAGATCATGAAGTCGTTCCACAAATTTTCTGAAGTCCCTCCTATACTATTACAAACCACAAAGAAAGAAGGCAATAGGTTCAAATTCTTCAAGTTGTTTGTGCCAGAAAACCGTTTACATTTTCTACAAAGTTTGGATGAATACACAAATGTGAAAAATCAGTTATTCAACATAATTAAAAAAAAAAAAAAAAGGAACCTAATAGTTAAACAAGACGTCTTCTAAACAGAGTCAGGAGACTCCAGGGGCCCACTTACAGCTCGGACTCGAAGAAGATGGGAGATGACAGATTGCAGTTCATCGCTGTAGTGTTTCAGTTCAGTGAACCTCCTGAAATCAGAAATAAGCCAAACATCACTTTCCTCATGAAAGCAAGCAGTCAAAAACCAAAGGACAAAACCGTTGTTCCTGAGAATAATGAAACGGATTCTATTTAACCCTATGCTGGCCTTGAGCTTTTATATTCCAATCCAAATTCAAAATCTTCTAAAGTAAAATAGCAATAATTTACATTTTAAAGCCACAAAAATATGTTACATATCTTAATGTATACTGTAGGGCTGAGATATAGAAAAGCTTGGTTGGTATCAAAAATACTTTGAAAAAAATAGGGGGGAAATAGTTTGATGTTAAAAACAATCTTATGGTACAGCCATAAACTCACAGCTGATATTTGTGCTGAACTTGGTCTCAGTGTCCCCATGTAATGTCCTCTCCTAGTCTACCTAATGTAAGGTGACCAGACGTCCCACTTTTGCAGGACAGCCCAGATTTTTAATAATTTCCCCGCGTCCCACAGCATTTTTAAAAAGTCCTGATTTTTGGAAAGGGTTTTCGGCTGCCATGTGGCTATTTCATCAGGATATGAGTTTTATCAATGGTGTCCCGCTTTTGTCCCGCTTTACCAATGTTAAAATCTGGTCACCTTAACCTAATGCCATTTGCCAGAAAGACCTCAAACTTCTGGTGCCACTCACCACACACAAAGTAGAAGCCATGTGCTAGAAACCACCGCCATGTCTACCTCCCGCTACTAAAACCAACAACTTTCCCACATCCACATGTATCCTTTCTCCCATCTCTCTGGGAGCCCTGGTCGCGTAGTGGTCAAGCATTGGGCTGCAATCCGAAAGGTCAGCAGTTCGAAACCGTCAGCAGCTCCACAGGCTTTCTGCTCCCATCGACAATTACAGTCTCTGAAACTCACTGAGTTTTACACGGTGCTATAGGGTCGTTATGAGGCAGCATTGACTCAATGGCAGTGAGTTTGGTTTGGGTTTTGGTCTAGAGTCCTTCCCAGCCAAAGCCCTGGAGTAAAGGTTCTCAACCTGTGGGTGGCGACCCCTTTGGGGGGGCCGAATAACCCTTTCACAGGGGTCACCTGATTCATAACGGTAGCAAAATGGCAGTTATGAAATAGCAACGAAAATAATTTTGTGGTTGTGGGTCAACACCACATGAGGAACTATTAAAGGGAGCTGGAAATGAACACAGCACAAGGAACCATGTAAAAGCTCAACTGTTGCATTGGTGAAGAGCTTGCTTATGTGTTACTAAAGGGGGTAATGTGTGAATGTGCGGACGGTATGGAGATGCTACAATGTGAAGAATCTTTTGGAAATGATTTAAAGGCTAGTAAAAGTGCTTCACTATTTTAATGTCTACATTTATAATCAAGCAGAAATTACATTCTTTGAAAAATAAAAATAAAATAAAATAAGTCGTGGTATTAGGAAGGTTGAGAACTATAGCTCTAGAGTCTGTCTCAGCTGCACTGCAAGTCCCTGTTGTCTAACATCCCTCTGTTGTTGTGAGTGGACCATCCGCACAACTGTTTTCACGCTTGAGCCCATCGCTACAGCCACTCTGCCAATCCCTCTCTCTGTAAGCTACCCTTACCAGTTTATCACTTAAATCAGATCTCTCCAAGATTAAAACACACACTCCCGGGGCAATAGGCACCCTTTCACACTCACACTCTTAAAGGTACCTTTCCACAGCAACAAACACTTCCTCCCTCCCCAATCACTGCTCAGTCCACTATTTACCCTCTGCTGCCGGTCCTACAACAAGCCAGTCCAGTGAATCCTGATTGATGGCAACCCCATGTGTCAGAACTGTGATGCAGACCGCGCTGTCAGAAGTCTTTTTACCGAGTCTCCTTTGGGTGGGCTTGGACCTCCAACCTTCTGCTTAGCAGCTAAGTATGTTAATAGTTTGTATCACCCAGGGCCTCCAGGCCATAAGGAAGAAACAGTCCCAATAACCTTACCAATGCCCATGTAGCTAAAATCCAATGGCACGTTTCAGTCCTCATCTTACATGAGACTTGGTAAGGTTACTGGGACTATTCTTCCTTGTGGCCTGGAGGCCTGGGTGATAGCACGGTCTGCATCACAGGGAATCCACGACAGATAAACCCCCTTAGGACAATAATGAGAGTAGCAATACCAAGAGGGTAAGGGAAAGGTGGGGGAAGAAAGGGGAACTGATCACAATGATCTACATAGAACCCCCTCCCTGGGGGACAGACAACAGAAAAGTGGGTGAAGGGAGACATCGGTCAGTTTAAGACATGAAAAAAAAAATAATAATTTATAAATTATGAAGGGTGAGGGAGGGAGGGTGGGTGAAGGAGGGGGAAAATGAGCTGATACCAAAGGCTCAAGTAGAAAGAAAATGTTACCAATAAATAAATAAATAGCAATGACTGTAATCCCATTATAGCTAGTTTGGGAACTGATTGTGGGAGCAATTGTACAACACTGCTTGACAGGCTTGAACTATGGAATGATATATGTATTAACTACCAATTAATAATAAATTCAAAAATAAAATATATCTATAATTTTTTTTTTTAAAGACCTTGGTCATCTTCCATTCCATTTACAAAGGTCTATCTCCAGCCCAGTAGCTCCGGATCCGTAGCCTGGTCTGTCAGTCCTATCTCCTCCATGTCGCGCTAATTTCTCTCTCAGCTGGAGTTACTGGAACAGCTTCATCCCTGGTCTCCTAGTCCATTCTCCCCTCTAATCTACTATCCACCTGGCTCGGCTGATCTGACCCACCACGTTACTTCCCTGCAGGTTTCCCCTGCTGAAAAACGTCATCCAAATTCCCCAATGTGGGCAATAAATCTCTTCACAATTGTATTCATTTGTTCATATATCTGTCTATATCTATATATCCTGTTAGCTTTTAATTCTACTTTCTCTTCTACTTACCCAAGCACTTCAGTGCAGTCATACACCAAGAGACCATGCTCTCATTTGTCCCACGCCTTTAGCTGTCTTTCATTTCCTCCCTTTTCCCTTAAAAGTACCCCTTCACCTCTTCATCCGCTAGTCCATTCATCTTTGGGCTTCAGCTTCAAGGCTACTTCCAAGACACTCACCTCAACAACTCATGCACAGGAGCCACAACAACTCATGCACAGGAGAGAAGAGTCGCTCCCCTGACAGCTTCCACAGCAGCCCATTGCTTCTCTGTTGCTATATACCCCAGTGCGTTACATGTTTCCTTGTCCCTTTCCAGCCCCCCACCCCAGACTGTGACTTTATGGGAAAAGGGCCTTCTACCTTCTTCACCCAGTGCCTGAAATGAGAGAGAGCCAATACCCCATCTATTTAATAAATCTATTTAATAAATCATTCCACATATAAGGAGGGGAATATACAAGTATATAACTTAGCATTTGAGAAAATCTTCATTTCCCCCAAATGGAGAAGGCTCATAAGGGAAAAGTGGTATGAAATATATATTACCCTTAGGCAAAGGCAGTGCTAGTATAACGCCCCCTCCAGCCCCACTGTCCAAAGGCCCCATGTATGCATCCTCTCTGCTTCATCTGACTCCCTAGCTGCCTGCTGAGTGGTCCATATAAAGGATCAGCTGCTAAGGCTGAGGGCATCAAAGCAATAGATAAAATTCACTCATCCTCTTGAGGCAATGTTTTTCAGGAAAGAAAAACAAATTCAAGGACAGAGGGCATGTAAGAAGCCTAGCCATTTACCAGCGTACAAACTCACACCTGTTAACCCTTCTGAAGTTCTCGGTGGGAAGGCTGAACGTGGACTGTCTCATTCCAAAGGGATATAATGCTAATTTGTATGAAGTGTCAACTTTGAGGAAGGGGAATAGCAAAGGGCAGGTGGGCCAGGGAGTGGAACTTTTTACTGTATACCTCTCCATAACTATCTATCTACCCATCTCTCTTTCTCTATCAACATACATTTGGCTACCCATGAGAACAGATTACCTAGTTTTAAAAAGATTAAACATTCAAATAAATTTGAAGAAATGTATTAGTTTAGGTAAGTGTGAACTATTTCTTTATGTAGAGTCGATTAGATTTTAACTACTAAAATTTTCCCTATCCTTGAGATCTTCTCCTGCTGGGAACCAAGAGCCAGAAATTCCACAGGATAAGACCTTCTGAAGCTTTCCCAGGCTTGATCTGATCCGCCAAGGACCTTTCTAATCTGGTTTCACAATTCTAAAGCTGACATGACTACAAAATTCTTAGTTGTCACATTTGGTTAGTAGAAAAATTCTAATAATATAAACAGTAAGGCTCGGAACACTTAAGTGAACTCGAGGTTTCTTGAATTGAGACAAAGGATCCTAACCATTTTGGTCACTGAATGAGTGAGACACGCAATGGTCGCTGTATCTGATAAACAGAGAGGTCCAACCTCTTTCAAGAGGCAGGTGACAACCCCCCAGCAGATCACTTCATCAGGAAGCAAGGGGAAGAGGACTCGGGGACATCTCTCAAAAAATCACTTGTTGGAAAATCAGAAGGCCTAAATGTGAAGCCTGATCAGTCAATCAAGTTGAAGATGAAAATATGTACGTATTTAAGAGCTAAATGATTCAGTGTTCTAAAAGCAAGAGTCTTAAATTCTTGGCCAAGTCAAGATCTAGCAGTGTCTGAAAATTAAGATGATGAAAGCTTCCTGTGGATGATTAGATGTTCTTAAAGTGAGATAAAAGACTAAAAAGCCAATCAATAAAGCCAGATGGTTGTTAGTTTCCCTTGAAAGACAGCCCTGGCTAGGGAAATGGTGATGTGAAATTACCCTCCTAAATGTCTAAAATCCTTGTCTGGGGTAAACCCAGCCTGACCTCAGCCCCTCAGGACTCTCTTCCTGTTACAGGACCCTATGCTTCCCTTTCATCTCCAAGTTTCATCTCTAGTTCCTTGGCAGCCATCTCCTTCCCTAAACCTGGACAGGGGCCTCTTCTAATCAAATGGAATCAATTACTCAAGATCCATCTTGAAAATCACCTTCATCAGCTTTCTCTCTTCCATTTCAAATACACGTCCCAAGGCACAACCAGCGTCTGGGATCTAACAGCTCTCTATGTGGTAAGGCTTTCACTCTTTTCATGTGGTTTCAGCTTTTTCTACCCAACCACAGAGTGACTCAAGGCATACAGAGTCTCCTACAGGTCTTTTAACTTGGGATGAAGCCTTTAAAGGAAAGGAATTCAATTCATTCTAGTCTTCCAAGTGACTTAGAAACAATAAATACATCTGCCCGCTTTTCCCACCCTCTTTTCTTCCCTCCAGGTCTCTCAGGTGCCTTGAACTAAAGAAAACTTAGTGATAAATGCTTCCGCCCTACCAGTCCTTCCTGCTTCAAACTCACCCTCACAATATGACCTGACAGCTGGGAAACTCAAGGAATAACCTGAGCACAGCATCATCTTAATTATATGACTGTGTAGCCTGGCTTACTTTTAAAAGAAGACATTCATGACCTTATACATGTTATCACTAAAGATTTTTTCTAAAGGAAAAAAAAAAAGCAGGGGGCGGGGGGCAGAGGAAGCAACCACAGCCACAGTAGAAATGGCTGATTACTCTTGTCCATTTCTACAAGAAACAGTGGGCTTCTAAAATCGGCTTTTCACCCTTTGCTTTATTTCAATCAAGTCTTTAAGAAAGAAATAAGACCTTAAAGTAAATGCTTTTCTTTTTAAATGTTTTATTTATTCAGAATTTCATTTATTAGTTTTCATTATTTCCCTGGACTGCAATTAAATGAGGAAGGTGAGCCAAGAAATAAACACATCAGGAGCTAGAAACCATAGGTTTTTAAACAATCTTGCCAAGATTTATGTACTCTGTTCAAGTTTATCACCTAGATTTTATCTTAGCAGGTTCAACTATTGGCAACAAGAGGAACTCAATGAATGGAGGAAAACCTTAGGCACATCACATTTTAAAAATATGTGATCAATATGTGGTTATAACAATGCAAAAAGCACTCACAGAGTACCTGAGACCGTGTAAACCAGCCCCCTGGTAGTGTAGTAGTTAAAGCACTTGGCTGTCAACTGAAAAGGTCAGTGGTTGGAACTCAGCAGTTGATCCTAGGGAGAAAGCCGTGACAAAGTAGATCTGCCCCTTACGGTCTCCCAAGCTGGACTATTTCTGGGGCCATCTCCAGATCTATCCTCCAGTGGTGGGTTCAAGCCACTGACCTTTAGCTAGTACTGTACCAAGGGCTTGACCCCTGCGCACACGCTCCTGCATCTGAAGAACACGTCTGCAACAGAACCGTGCACGTCACTATCGCACTGAGAACCTTCCTGGTTACTATCACCATTTCCTAACTCCCCAAACTACTACACGGCCACTTATATTGCATATTCAACACATAAAATCAGAGCTGTTATTAATAACAGGTTATGCTTAACCAAGTTGGGCATGAGTGAGTGGCCACCAGATCATGCAAACTTGGTCTCTGCTAAGAACTTAAGACTATGTGGAAATTAATGCTAAAAGACTAAATAGAGAAATCCTAACCCTTAGTCCCCCAAAATGGAAAAGCCTTAACTGCCTCAAAAACTTGTTCAGCTAAATTCTTTTAGTCTCGGGTAACGCCCACATAATGAAACAAGTGAGAATGCGGAAACACCAAATCTTAAGAAATACCTAGGTTTTAGCCTCAGGAAAGTCATTTCCAAATAAACTGGCTTCCTTTAATACAGAAACACCAAATACTCATCAAGGAAGTATTTCTCAACAAATAAATCTCCACAAAATGTATTATGCATTTATCTACTGAGTTTTCTTGATATATAAAGTAGAAAATTTTTATTTAAAATACTTATAACATAATTGTCTTATTTTGAGTTTCATCCTTATTTGACAAGCAAGGCCCTATAATAAAAACTACTTTATATGAAATAAAAATTACCTTCTCATTTTTCTCATACCTCAACATTAAATCATTCTTTACACAATAAAAATAATGTTCAATTTTCTAAAACTTGTTACTTACAACCTTAGACCCAATCAAGGTACCCAAATTCCAAAATCTGTTTTATTAGAGTTTAAGAGGATTTTACTAAATGTGAATCACTACTGAAAATATTTAGCAAATAAAGTGCATACATTCAGAAATGAAAAATGAAAAAGATTGATAGGCATCATTCAAAACAGCACTGTAATTGTTATTAAAACAAAACCTTACTTGTCTGGGTTTTTCACTCTGAATGTTGCATTAAGCGCTTTTAACCTGGAGTCTGCCTGGAAAAAATAATTTGTGAACTTAATACAATTCCATTTCAGGGTAGAAAATTCAAACAGTTTTATTTTTTTCCCTTTAGAATTAAGAGCTCAAGTACAATTTTTCTTCATATTATTTTATGTCACATACATAAAACATACCTTTAAAAAAAAGCAGTTTAGTATATTTTATTTTTGAAAACACTACCAAAAGGTGCTACAAATTAAACAGAATACATGATATTCAATGAAACCAAGTAAAACAACTGTCAATACCAGTACATTAACTGGCACAGAGCCCAACATTATTGTACTTCTGAAGCGGTTCTGTGAAAAAAGCAGTTAACCTTTTCTCTAAACCATTGAAAAGTGGTATTTCACACTTACATTTTTGTAAACCGCACAATCCCCAACAACATAGTTTTAAGTGCACTAAGCACAAAACATGCATGTGCATGCTGTTTGTGTGGGGGCTTAGTTATAAAAAATACAGTAAAGAAAATGACTGTGCTGTAGCCTATGCATTACTGATGGCAGTAATTTTTTGGGGGTGGGGGAATTTTTTAAAATCAAGAATGTCTGTAGTACAGTAATACCAGCTAGTAATCTGTACACTGCAGTCAAACAAGGTGCTCCTCATTTTCGTTTGCTGTTGTCACGTCAACTCATGGTGACGTCAAGTTATAGGATAACTTTATAGTTGGCAGAAAATACTCCAAGAAGATAAACTTATTATCTTTATTTTTTTCTAGATAATTGATCTCAAAGAAGGGAGAGACACCATCAAAAGAAAGATAATTATGTCACTGAATTAAATTCATATATAATATCCCAAATCCTAAATTATCATTTAAAAAATACTAATACTTTTTCAGATCAGAGCACACGAATTAGAGGGCTCTTAAAAGTTAGTTAAAAACCAGAAAACAAAAAAAGTTAGTTCAATTGGTGTGATTTGGTTTAAAAATTCTCAATCAATTAGATAATTCTAGATCATTCCAATTTCTAACCCACAATTATGACCCCAAGTAATAAACCAATCAAAGAAAGGGGGGGAAAGCAGTACTAGAGTACCCAGATTATTTGGCAAATAAAAATGTATGCAACAACACGGCACTACAGAGACTCAAGGAGCTACCCCTGCTTCATGCCACGGAGATGTCTGAGGCTTCCCTGCATCTCCAGAAGCACTATTTCACCAGTTCTTGGTCTGACCTACATCTCAGAGGACAAACAAGCTACATGTGAAAATCCAAATCAATAAAAAGCATCCATGAATTTGTGTTCTTGAAGTAAATGAAAATCACTAAACACCAAAGAAG